ATGAACCGGAAGTCTCGCACATTCACAGAAAACAGCTTACTTCCACGTTGAAATACAACTTCGAGTTTATATCTTTTTTTAAATTGTGAGATAAAAAGTCGCAATTACCTTTTTTAATTGTAATTTTTTTCAATGGGCTTTCATACATTTAAAATAGGGATGAAACGACTACCGGTTTGACGACAAATCATGATAAAATTCCCCACGGTTAAAATTACCGTTTCATATTTTAATTATCGTTAAAACCGTATTCGATTATGGCGATATGAAAAACTCAGGATAAATAAATACTGTCCAGCATAAAGCAAAGTTTTAAGTAACAGTCTCATGATGTGAGCACAGCAGTATAGTTTCAGAAAAGGTGGAAAGCTGGGAGGTTTTAAAAGAGTTCTAAGGGAATTATACAAATGAATATATGAATGAATTACATGAATGTACCTCTGAAGGTTCTGAATTCAGAATAGATTCGATGGCATTTTGTTTTCATCTTTGCTCCATGTAATACCTAATAAAGTAGTGTACTTATAGCAATGCTTTGTCCACGGAGGTTATGGAAAACAGCTCTAATTCTGCTGTTCCATAAGCGCCACCTGCTGTCAGAGAGTGGATCTACAGAAAGTTACATTTACATTCAGCCTGTGTGCAGTTTTTGTCTGGCCAAAAAATGGACCGAATTTGCATGCCCTGCTGTAAATTTTGACCAGCTGATGAAAAACAAGCTTATGTGGATTCTACACATTTAAACAATTCGGATGAGGGATCTATAATTATTTATGGAGCAGATAAAATAAATATAATCATTTATTGATCAATTGTCATTTTGACAACCCTTTTCTTTATTTAAAGGCTGAAATGTGAGGTTTACCATTTTATACAAATTTTTCAAAGATTTATTTGAACATTTCGTACATGTTATTAGATAAACTGTAAAATCCAGACATAATTTTTTATGTTATTGTTTTAGTGTTTATGCAACATACTATATATAATATAAAACTTAATGAAAATATTTATGTGTCAGTACTTTTAGAAAATTTTCAGCACATTTTACCAATACCGTGATCATTTTGGTCACTATAACCGTGATAAGAAATTTTCATACCGTTTCAACTCTAATTTAAAACTATATTTTCCTTTTCATTTTCTTGCATTAAACTGGTTAAATGGCTGAGGGAGTGACGGCAAATCTTTCTCTATTTTGACCGATGAAATCAGTCTCTTGATATGTTTTCCTCTTTGGGAAAGACATAGAAACCAATCGCAGATTTTTTTCTTTTGCTATTAGGGCAAATGGAAATGCAAAAATTACATTTGCATTAACCACAATTCACATGCATCTCTTCTACTACGCTATTCTCAGAAAAGTGTGTGGGCAGTTTTATTTTCATGGTCTGCTCTGTTAAATGCATCTTTGATCTAATTTTTACACTTGAATGTTTCCCATGACAGTCACAGTGGCTGCGGAGCTTCAGTCCTGTACTGAACTCACTCAGGGTCGTTGCCATATGTGACGCAAGTAAAAATGAGGCTATGAGGTATAGATTACGTCAGTTCTACTGCCTTAACATTTGAGGTCACACTAATTTTGAGTGCAAGTTTTCTGGAATGAAAACATGCAGATGAACAACTTAAACTTGAGAAAAAAATGAGAAAAGTTGCCGTGGCATCTAACTGAAACAAAACAAGTTTAAGCTGAAGTACTAAAATTACTCCAACTAAAACATGAA